AGAGGAAAGCACTGGGGATATCATTTCTCAGGAGCTGTTGTTGTGTTTACCCACCCAAGGATGGGCACCAATGGAGAAGAAGTAAGCAATTTCTACCAAAGTCCAACTTGGTGAACTAATGAGTTTATTAGGGTTATTTACAAGAGTGTTATTGGCAAGGGGTTACTTACAGGAGCATGGGTGTGCTGGCTAGTTTTATTTTAACTTGACACAAGATAGAATCATTTGGGAAGATGTAACCTTAATTGAGAAAATGACCCCCCCCCCCCCAGATTGGCCTATGAGAAAGCTTGTGATTCATTTTCTTGATTGGTGATTGATCTGAGTTTTGAGGACAGAATTAAGGCCTTCCTGTTTGCAAGGTAAAGGCTTTACTGGTTGAAATAAGAAAAATGAAGAGTTTATGCTTAGAATTTGAAAGATAACAAAGAACACATATGCATACTCCCTAGGTCAAGTTGTAAGGTAAAAAGATGTCAGAGGAGACAGGCACGCTGTCCTGTGTTTTCTTGTGTGGCCATCCCTGACCATCTCTGTCTAATCTCCATGTCTTAGTTTTGTTTCCTGCTGTTGGATAAAATACCCTGACAAGAGCAATTAAGGGAATAAAGGGTTTATGTTGTTCGAATCTTAAATGGTCTTTTAATAAAAAACCCAGAGACAGATATCAGGGTGAAAGCTGAAAGCTCAGAGAAGCAGAACAGCCAGCCACTAGTTCTTACCTCTACGAAATTCTCAGCTTAAAGAGAGTAAGTTCCTGTCTCCTCACACCTTATATACCTTTCTCTGCCCTGCCATATTTTGTCCTGGGATTAAAGGTGTGTGTGCTTCCCAAACAAAGGCATGAGATCTCAAGTGCTGGGATTAAAGGTGTGTGCTACCACTGCCTGACCTCTATGTCTAATTTAGTGGCTGGCTCTGTCCTCTGATCCTCAGGCAAGTTTATTAGGGTCCACAATACATCACCCCAGGTTTGCTCTGCTCAACTCAGGCTACAGTCCATCAGGTAAGGGAAATCACCGCAGCTAGAACTTGAAGGAGCTAGCCACATTGCATCTGCTGTCAAGAAGCAGAGAGCAATAAACGCATCCTGCTGCTCTGCTCAGTGTAATTCCAGTATCCCCACCAAGGAATTGCACCATTCACAGTGGTGGTCATCTCATTTGAGTGGCTGTAATCAGGATAGTTCCCAACAGGCACATCCAGACTCTCATCTCCCTGATGATTCTATATTCTGTTCAGTTGACAACACTAACCATCATATCCTCCTTTTTCTAGGAATTTCCTACATCTTGACCAAAGTTACTCACATGAGAATTGCTCTGAAACTCCAGCTGACACAGCTGATTAGTTTAGAAATGGCTCTTTATCTTAGATTTGGCCAATGAGACCATTCATTGGAGCTTTGAGAATTCACATACCACCACCACCAATAACAACAAATGTGTCGATTTCAGTGGCCAGAACTTTAAGATAAAGAAAGGCAGGACCATTCAAGGATGATGCTCCCTAATCATAGATACAGTGTTCAGTAGAAGATTCAAAGGCAGCACAGAGCAGAGAAACTTGCAGAGTCTGAGGGCTGGGCAGGCTCCAGCTTATGGTCCTCAGAGTCCCAGCTGGTCCTTTAGCTCAACTCATCATACTCATCCACTGTGGAGGAGTCTTGGAGATTGGTAACAGGGGACACCCCAATTAAGTATTCTTATGGTTTGAATATGAAATGCCCCAATCAAATCTTACTTTGAATGCTTGGTCTCTTGCTGATGGCACTGTTTGGGGAAATGGGAGATAATTTTTTAAGAGGTGGGGCCTATCTTAGGGAAGATGGCTGCTCAGATATACTCTTGAAGGTTATACCAATCCCCCAGTTTCTTCTCTCTCTACTTCCTGTCTGCCAAGAAGTCACCAAATCTCTTCTACCCCATGTTCCTGCTGACATCAAGCTTGGTCCAAGCACACAGCACCAAAGAATATGTACCAAACTTTCCCGAACTGTGAACCTGGGTAAATCCTTCTGACCTTAAGCTGTTGCTGTCCAATATTTGATCACAGAGATACAAAGTCCAGCACAGCTCCTGTCCTCCCCACATCTACCTCACATTTTTTCACTTGTATTGAAAGGATAGATTTCTCTGATTTGTTTCTTTTTATTGGAATGGAACCTCCTTTATCAAAAGTGTAATCTCAATTATTCCATGACAATTTCTGAATGATATTAAGTGTGTTGGGAGGAGCAAAGGAATTTAGAAAATCTCTTTCTTGGCAAAACTTGCTTTGTCTGGTTACAAATTTCTGTTTTACGCATCTGCCCAGGACAATAATTCTTTTCTTTTTCCTTGAAGACCTGTCTTGATTTTGTTACCTCCACCTTAGGCAAGGCAGATGGGCAATTTAGATTGATTATACAGATTGTGTGTGCAGAAATATGAGAGAGAAAAGCTCATTAATAGAATTAAATGTTACTCTGGTAATTATTCTTATTTTATGGAGAAGGAATCAGAGGCTCAGAGACGTGAAGTGATGTTCCTAACTCACAAGTGAGAAATGACAAAAGAAAGACTAAGATCCCAGCATATGCCATTTTTTTAATTAAGAATCTTTTTCATTCATTTTACACATCAATCAAAGATCACTCTCTTCCCTCCTCCCCCAAGCCTCCCCCTCCCAACCCACCCTTTACTCCCTCCCCCATAAGAAGGCAAGGCCTCCCATGGGGAGGCACATCCAGTAGAGGTAAGTTCCAGCCCTTCCCCCTGCCTCAAGGCTGCAGGAGGTGTCCCATCATAGGTGGTGGGCTTCAAAAAGTCCGCTCACGCACCAGGGATGGATTCTGATCCTACTGCCAGGGGACACCTCCCCCCCCCCCCCCAACAAGCAGATCAAGCTACACAATTGTCTTGCCATACAGAGGGTCTAGTCCAGTCCCATGCAGGCTCTACAGCCATTGATCCAACTTTCATGAGTTCCCACTAGTTTGGTTTGGTCGTCTCTGCATATGCCATTTTTAAGGGAATGAAAAGGGCTGCCTATGTAGCCTTCCTACACTACCTGCCCCATCTTGCTTGATGGTTCTGCTGCCTTTTATATCTGCTCACCGCACTCCATGTGAGTACCCACTCTCCTTTCCCTGCCCGGTGAGTTCACAGTGAATTTTATTTCATGCAAATTCTTGGTGCTGAGTTGTTTTCCCTTTCTCTTTCCCCTCTTTTATTCTTTCAAGGTCTATTTTTTTATGTTTGTGTGTGTGTGTGTGTGTGTGTGTGTGAGAGAGAGAGAGAGAGAGAGAGAGAGAGAGAGAGAGAGAGAGAGAGAGAGAGAGAGAAGTGCCTATGGAGGCCAGAGAGGGCATCTGTGGAGCTGCTCAAGTTACAGGTGGTTGTGAATCGTCTGACAAGGGTGGTGGGAACTGAACTTTGGTCCTCTGGAAGAATGGCAATTGCTGTTAACTATTGAGACATGTCTCCACTCCTTCCTTCTCTTCTCCCTTCCTCCCTGGAAAAGAGGGTTTCATAAAACTGGCTGTGGTGATTTGAATAAGAATAGCTCCCAAAGGCTCGTATGTTTGAATGTTTAGTTACTAGAAAATGATGTTATTTGAAAGGATTAACAGGATTAGGTGTGGCCTTGTTGGAGGAAGTGTGTCACTGGGGATAGGCTTTGAGGATTCAAAAGCCCATGCCAGGCTCTCTCTCTCAGCCTGAAGATTAGGATGTAGCTCTCAGCTACTGCTCCAGTTAATGCTTGCATGCCCCCACGCTCTCTGCTATGATGATAATGGACTAAATCTCTGAAACTGTAATGGTTATGGTGTCTCTTCACAGGAATACAGTGACTAAGACATGGTCTAAGTTGCCTGTCTGTGGGACTCTGTCTTTTTTTTTCTGTTTTTTTTTGGAGACAGGGTTTCTCTGTGTAGCTTTGGAGCTTGCTCTGTAGACCAGGCTGGCCTTGAACTCACAGAGATCTGCCTGCCTCTGACTCCCGAGTGCTAGGATTAAAGGCATGAGCCACCACCACCCGGCCAGACTCTGTCTCATTTAGGCACAGGGATATCCTGGGATATCAAGAGGTGGAAGAATCCATGATCTTGGAGTGAGATCTCCAGAGCCTTTGAAGAAATTCTGTGGAGAGGATATTACAATTTCCAGAGTGATGGAAGTGAGCATTTTGAGGTCCTTTAACCTCATCTACTGACAGGCTGACCCAGCAGGTCTCTGAGGCTTATTTGACCTTGCTCCCACTCCATGTGTTCCTACGGTATAAAGATCATAGCTATTTATTTCCTTCAATCTGGAACCTCACATAGTCTCTCCACTTCATAGAAGCAGTAAGTAAATGATTTATTTGACCTAGGTGTCCAAGAAAATGGATCTAGTAGAATTCAGTGGTAGAAGTCTCACTGAGGAAGGCTTAGGAGAAAGTGTAGAAATAGGAGACTTTGGCTACATATTCAAGAAATGAGCAGCAAGGTAGCATGGTTGAGTATTAATCATGATTGTTTTGAGGAAAAGATATGTGACTAAGTAATGTGAATGGGCAAAGGAGAAGGAAAGCATTTGGAAAAAAAATCTTATCTGATTATATATTCACTCCAACTGAACAATTCATATTAAACTGATCCTAAGCATAAGTACTTTGTCACCTCATCTGTGATAACTGAAAAGTCACATTGTTTCTTAACATCATTCAGAACATTCTAGAGCATTCTACATATAGTTTTCAGTTTACAAGGTATGCTGGTTAATTTTTATTAGTTCAGTTGACACAAACTGGGGTCACTTGGGATGAGAACTCCTCAATTAAGGAACCCCCTCTCTCAGATTGGCCTGTAGGCATTTTCTTGATTAGTGATTAGTGTTGGAGAGTCCAGTCCATTATGGGCAGTGCCACCCCTGGGCAGGTGGTCCTGGGTTGCACAAGAAAGCTACCTGAGCAAGCCACAGGGGAGCAAGCTAACAAGTGTTCTGTGTTGCCTCTGCTTTGGTTCCTGTCTCCAGGTTCCTGCTGTGAGTACCTGCCTTGCCCTTCCTCACTGATGGACTATAAAGTGTAAGCTGAAACAAACCCTTTCCTCCCAAAGTTGGTTTTGGACATCGTTGTATCACAGCAGTAGAGAAGCAAGGAGGACAGAAGCCGACTGTACCTGACTGGCTGCTGCTCTAGCCTCCAGTCCCAACCTGTCTACGCTCCAGGACTCTATGTTCCAGCCATATTGAGTTGACTGCAGTTTCCAAAAGGTACTATGCTCTTTCACATCTGTTATCTGCCGTCTAGCACCATTTTCTCCATGTGAAATTTCCTCTCTCACTTCCTTCCTGCTTGGATAAGCTCTCCTCTCAACATAAGTAATAACGTCTCCTTTAAAAAGCCCCTTTACCACCCAGCCATTATGGTATTCCTGGATCAATCTGCACTTTTTTTTCTTTTTAATATTGCTTGTCCCATGTTATAGAATGATTTTTTTCTTCAGTGACTGCCTAGATTCTGGGATGTTAATCACAGGGACACTGTTTTTTGTTTTTTGTTGTTTTGTTTTGTTTTTTTTTTTGCCTCTGATCCCAGTTTCTCAGCCTGCCTCCTGATGTAATGGCAATAATTTTCGATCAGCTGAATGAAGCAAGAGCAGAGAATGCTGAGCCATTTATAACACTATTTCAAAATACTACAGCCTGTCTCCGTTTTATACCTTTAAAACACATATTTTATTGTTGGTTGTTTTTATGACTGTTTGGTTCTGAAGTCTCTTTTCCCCTCACATCACTGTGTGCCTCATTTCAGAGCTGCACAGAGTTCTTTAGAGGTAACAGGGCTGGACAGAAAATGCCTCAGTCTTTCTTTCGACATAATTGCCACATGTAAGGACCATATCTTAGTCTTACATGTACAGCACCTAAGCAGGTTCATCAGTTCCCCAGTCCTGGCTGTTTCTAGTTTCAAGATAATCTTTCAGGTACTGATAAACTTCTTGTAGAGAAGATGTATCAATGAAGATACATTTTTTTTTCACCATAGAATGAATTCCATGAGATAACTTCTCCAAACTGATATTCTTTGCCTGAAGAAATGGTTTTTAAAGACCATTTCTTTAACACCTTTTAAAGGTTTATTTTCATTTTATGTGTATGAGGTGTTTGTGTGTATGTCTGTCTATATACTACTTGTATGCTTGGTGCCCAGAGAGGCCAGAAGAGGGTATCAGATCCCTGGGAATTGGAGTTCTAGACAGTTGTGAGTCACAATGTGGGTGCTGGGAATTGAACTCAGGACCTCTGGAAGAGCAGCCAGTGCCCTTAGCCACTGAGCCATCTCTCCAGCCTGTGTCACCGTTTCTAAAATGAATTCTGTAAAGACTGTGCAACTTGGAAGTGCCACCACCATTTCTATTTTATCTTGACTCTCCTAATTGGGTTTTGCTATTAATTACTTGTTTGCTTTTGGCTCTTTTAGGGATTGAATGTAGGGTATGGAGTACACCAGACAGGAGTCTGACCACTGAGCTATATCCCTAACTCTGTTTTGCCATGAGAAGAAAAAAAAATGGGTGCACTGCTTTCAAAATGGATTTGTGTTGAGCAACATGTGCGTGCATGTGTGTATGTGTGTGTGTGTGTGTGTGTGTGTGTGTGTGTGTGTGTGTGTGTGTGTGTGTATGCATGTGTCAGTATGATTGTATGAAGCCAGAAAGGGACCTCAGAGCTGCATGCTTGTTATGTAGTTGCTAGACCTTGAACTCCCATTCTCATGACTGTACAGCAGGTGCTTTTAACTTCTGAGCCATATCTCCAGCCCCTGAACAGGATTTATGATGTTAGTCTACATAAATTAGATATTCAGAATATTTGAGTGTACATTTCTTAAATCACTATGAAGAATATATTTTCCCGTGTCACAGATTGTGTTCTATTATGTAAATCATGTACAGAGGGGACCAGAAGAAGGAGGGCAGCAAATGTCAATACAGAAAAAGCTGATATAATTGATAGAGCAATCTACAAAACTTACCAAAGAGCAGGAGGGGAGTTAATACCTGTAACTACAGAGGGACAGTTTCTCTTAAGAGAAGTGTAAGATAAAACAAGGTGAGTAAGAAGTGTGATACACCATAATGCTGGGTAAGATAAAACAAGGTGAGTTAGAAGTGTGATACACTGTGATGCTGGGAAATGGTCAACCTTAACCGGGCATTTGATGTGTTAGAGTCAATGGGTTAATTGCTTTCCATGGATTTCCTCTCTTGGAGGCCTGTTGGGTGAGGCAGTGAAGGAGTAATGTGAGTCAGTGTCTTTCTCTGAACTTTACTGCCCTTGAGCTGAAAACTGAACCAGCACTTGCAAGTGAGAGAGGAGGAAGGAAAGGAATGCGTGGAGGAGGAAGAGGGGAGCTGGAGGATAAGGAAGGTCGCCAGGGCCTTAACTTTGCTGCTGGCTTGCATGAACGAGCAAATCCACACAGCCACCATCAGAGCTGGGTTTCTGCACACCCGTGTTTTGTCTTCCCCACAGCTGGCCCTGATTAGTTCGGGCATTAGCCCTTCCCCGAAGCTGCTGCCCCTCAGGAGCCCGTTCTCCTGCCCTTTGCCCAGGCTTTTGATCAGAGGGTGCCAGGCACTAAAGCGGCAGCTAGGAAACTGCTCCTTAGGGCTTCCTGGGAAGGCTTCAAAGGTTGGAAAGCAATTTGCAGCTTTTGTGTGCAAGGCCAGGAGATTTGAGGAGGGAGTGCTCCAGTTGGTGGGGGAGCTAATTAGGCCTGGGAGCTGTTTGGCCACCTCACCTTCACTTGAAAGCCCTCTAGGATGATGAGGTCCGGGAGGATGGGGACCACTTTGTGCTCAGCGGGCAGTGTTCGGCTGCTGTGCAAGTGGCAGGTTTAGGAAAGGAGGTCTGGGGAAACCAGTACTTAATGCGCCCCGGGAGATTAGCCAAATGGGCTCCCCATGAACAGCTGACCTGCAGTAGGCTGGGCTAAGGCACAACACTATAATGCTATACTGTTTGGGGAGGTGCCTTGCTATGCGCAAGTACGGATTCTGGACCACTTAAGATGGTTGTGTTCTTGTGAATGAAAGCTATTCACTCTTATCAATGAATTAACTGTTTCTATAGTGACTAAAGCACTTTTTTCGAGGGAGGGGAGGGGTGTTGTGAAATTGATTACAATTCTCTAAGTGGCTTTTCAAGGGAATGCCAGAAAATTACAAACAAACAAACAAAACGTTTGGGTTATCTGTAAACTGTGAGAATGCTTGCTGATTGTTCTGGGAGAAGAGTAATTGGAAGATGTGCTATTTAGTCACTTTTAGGGATACAGAGTATATGTTGAACTATAGTAGGGGTTTCATTTCTAAGATTAGACTTCACCCTCATTTTGAAATTTCTACAAGTATGTGTGGCCCTACACAAGTAACTATCATTCTCATTGTGGTGCTCTGTGGGAATAATCATGGAATCTCCTAAGACTGTGAATGATGAGTAAGCATCTAAGCCAGGAAGGCAGAGCAAATGTCGAGTAAGGTTAGCTGTTACCACATGAACAATCCTGGACCTGCAGAAGGTCTTGAGTTTGATTGCCAGCACTATAAACTAAACAAATGAATACATTAACGGCCCTTTCTAATTGTTACCAAAGTTACAGGCAGCAATGCATTTCAGCCCCCAGCTCGGCCATCTTTAGTCTTCCATCTGTATTCCACTGGCAGTGTGCAGTGGCACCGGCTTCATCCCTGTCCTGACACCAGTGGTTTAGGCAGCAGTCCCGACTGCTAGCTTAATTAATGCATCTTGGATCTTAACTTGGGGCTTGAAGCCATTGGGAATGACTGGGTAAATGTATATATACGTGCTAAAGAGTTGGGCTAAATGCTACAACTTAATTATGCAAGGAATCATTAGTTTGCCTTCCTTCCTTCCTTCCCTCCCTCCCTCCCCTTCTTTCTTTCTTTCTTCCTTCTTTCTTTCCTTTCTTCCTTTCTTTATTTATTTCTTGTGTTCTTTGTATTTTAATCTGCTTTCTCCCGTCCTTTCTATGTGCACCGTGGTAAATTTACAGCCCTCTGCAATGGACTCAGGACCCAAGTATTCTACTGAAAGGTCTTTGTTGTCCTGGCTGCAAATCCCCCCCCACTTCCTTTCTTTCCCCTAGTGACTTCTCTGTCCTGTGCTCTTGGGCTTAGCATTTATGGATTAGGCACTGGCACATGGTGTATTAGTTAGGGATCTCTAGAGTCACAGTTTATGAAATGAATCTCTCTCTCTCTCTCTCTCCCTTCCCTCCCCTCTCTCTCTCTACACACACACACACACACACACACACACACACACACACACACACACAGACACAGACACATATGTAAAGTCTTAAACAGATGAAGTAAATCTAATTTCAAAGTCATGGAAAGCATTTATAACAACAAGGAACTCTGCTTCGTGCTTTATGGGCTCTAGTGCCTGTGATTAACAAAAGAAATCAGACATGTAGGCAAAACTCAGGTTGGGGCACTTAAAATTGAGTTCCAGTTCTATAAACTATTTCTGTGACTGTGCACAAACCACATGGAGGGGACTGAGTCATGGTCATTATATTTTTCTTTAATTCTTTAAGGACAATTAACTTTAGCTATTTTAACATACATGGTCCAGCCACTTTGTAGTCTTTGCTAAATCTGCTATTACAGCCCTTCAGAAAGAGTTTTATGGAATTACTTTTTTTTCCTGAGTATTTCCTGTTTCTTTGCATAACATATAATACATTCTGGTCACTTTCACTCTTCCATCCCTCTTACCCTACCCCCACCCCACAACCCACTATCTTCTTGCCACCGGGTCCTTATCCTACCTTCTTGTCTTTTTGTTTTTCTTTTGTTTGGGGATTTTGAGCCACTGTGTTTGACCAGGGCCATTCTCATGGGCACAGGTGTGAAGCTACCCACAGGAGCATGGGTAACTTCTCAGTGGCCACATCACCGAAGACAATGACTTCCTATTCCCCAGCAGCCTTGGATGGCCATTGTCACCCTGTGGGCAGGGTCCTATGAGCCCTTCCCTCATCTGTGATGGAGTAGAACTCAATCTTGTGCAGGCTCTTTGTAAGCAACCATAGCTGTCATGGATTCATGTGTGACATGGCCATGTTATGCCATGACAGCATTGCATAGCCCTTTGACTTACTGTCCAGCCTTTACAGTCTTTCTCTTCCCCATTCTCTGATGTTCCCTGGGCCACAGAAGGGGTGACATTGGTGTCCAATTTAATGCTGCGCATTCAATTGTCGCTTGTTCTTGTACCTTGTTCAACTCTACATTGAACTGACTGATGTTCCTCACTAGAACTTTCTTGGTTGAGACTGAGGACTATATTTGTCTGTGGTTACCAACACAAATATTTAGGAGGCAGGTTAGCAATGTGTCCATTTAGCAAAACAAAAAAATTAGGTTTATCCTTAGTTCCTATGACTGCTTAGTTGTGGGGCCTTGGCTCTGGCCCACGGTACTGGATATGAACTCACTCCTACAGAGCAAGCCTAAAACCCAAATAGAAAGATTGGTGACCCTCATAATAGTTGGGTCACCATTATACCAGTAATTACAACTTGCCTTGGAAGTTGGTATTATAGTTTTCAGGGTTTAAAGCTTGGAAAAATCATTGCTGCCTCTTCTCTTCCAGAAGTCTAGGTAGCAATTTCTGGCACCATGAAAGCTAGCCAGCAGGAAGTTTTCAACTCAGATCCAGCATGATTCTCTGTATTCTGTAGCCAAGCTATGTGGTATCTTCAGCAATAGGCCTTTTAATCCAGTTATGGTAGGCAACTCAGGATAATGGTACACTTGAATAGTTTTAGGGTGCTTCTGGGACCTTCTTGGCCAACAATTCCTAGGAAGATATTTCACACCTGACACTGGGATTTTTGTTCAGTAACGCATGGCTTCTAGATCAATATTATGCATTCATGCATGATAACTCCGTTCAAAATCTTTTTTTAAAAAATGTATGTTTTTGTTGGTTTATAAAATAGTAGGTTTCCATGTGACTAACTTCTGGATGCATCTCTGGCTTTGGATAACCTGCCTCCTGCACCCCATCTTCTCTCTCTCTCTCTCTCTCTCTCTCTCTCTCTCTCTCTCTCTCTCTCTCTCTTTTCTCTCTCTCTCTCTCTCTCTCTTTTGGCTTTTTGAGACAGGGTTTCTCTGTGTAGCTTTGTGCTTTTCCTGGATCTCACTCTATAGACCAGGCTGGCCTTGAACTCACAAAGATCAGCCTGCCTCTGCCTCCCAAGTGCTGGGATTAAAGGCGTGTGCCACCACCACCTGGTGCACCCCATCTTCTCTCCCATCCCCTATGCCCATCCCTGTTTAGACCTTGTTATCCTCAGTATGCTCTCCTTCTATTTTCATAGGATGTGTTCTACCATCTCTACTGCCCCTTGAGGCTCCTCCCCTTCACCTACCACTGTCAGGGTCTCTCGGTCACTTCCAGGTTTCTACAGCCATTTCAGGTTAAACTAATCTAAAAGTTTGAGGCTCAGGGGAGATCATGGTAGAGGGGGAGGAACAATGTAAGAGCCAGAGGAAGGAGAAGTACTGTCAAACGGTGGCTTCGGGACACCGGGACAGGCATCACTGTTCCCTACATCAGTTCACAGCAGCTGCAATTATCCCATAAGATCAAGAGAGTTACAATTTCAGCATGAAGCAGGGAGGGGCTCCCAAGGTCTCTCCCCTATCTGAGGTGCTAATGGCAGTGGGTGGCTGCTGAAGGAGGGAGAATCATTTCTCTTTTGAGGGTAATAGCCATTGGTAGGCTGCCCGTGCCACAGTAAATGAGCTCATGCTCATGCGCATATGGGTAGCTATGATGAGAACCTCAATGATCTATATATATCAACTTATTAAGGGGTTCTATGGGGGAAAACAGACTCAATGATACAGGATAAGGTAAATCCAGTTGCAGAGTCCTTGGAAAGCTGGGGACCGATCACAGGCTGCTTCATGTTACCTGATCTACCGGATTCACCACCCAACAGACCTCCACCTCCTTTCTCCTCCCTTTTAAGGGGTCAGGTAGGCAGATAAGAAGCACTGCCTCTAGATAGCCAGATAGCTCAAGATCATGGGCGGAGTGAATTTCCACTACAGGTAGCACTAATTGGACTTAGTGGTTTATTAAAAGCCAAACAATACAAGAAATTGAGAGGGACATGGAGACATGTTGTGGGGGTGTGGGAGAAGCTGGAGGGAGTCAGTGGGAAACGGATATGGCCAAGATACATTGCATACCATTCTGGAATAAAAATAAAATGTAAGAAAAAATTCAAGTCTAGGATCCATATGAGAGAGAGAGAGAGAGAGAGAGAGAGAGAGAGAGAGAGAGAGAGAGAGAGAGAGACAGAGAGACAGAGAGAGACAGAGAGAGAATATGAAGTGTTTGCCTTGTTCCTGCTGGGTTGCCTTACTCAGTATATAATATTTTCTAATTCCATCCACTTCCCTGAACACTCATTTTTTTTATTGCTGAATATGTACCACATCTTCATTATCCATTCATCAGCTGATGGGTGTGGTCCCTCCATATCATATGCTAGTCATATTAACAATTATTATTTTCAGCACCTCTGAAATCTAAATTTTTTTCCTAAGTCACTTGAATCTAAGCTGAGTGTTTAGTTTTCTGCATGCTACCAGTCTCCCTCCCTGATTCACAGTTCTCATTTTTATATTCACCTGGCCTCCTGTGGCTGCTCCTATTTCTGTATTGATTTTGGTAAACCAGACTTGGGAGGAGACTGTGCTCAAACACCTGGAGCCCATGAAGCTCCCACTTCCTGCTCATGGGTGCCTTCCAGACATGGTGTGCAGTCAATGTGCAAGCAGTTCTTGAGTCTGTATTTCTGTGCATTGGGCTATTCATGGATTTCTCATCAGCCAGGGCTGTGTTGAGAGCTTATGTTTTGTTCAGTGGCTCTCTCCTCTCTCTCTGAACTTTCAGGATGTAGTCAGGTCTGTGACCTCAGGCAGAGTTCTTGGATGCCCCTCCTGTGACACACTAAGATTCTCACTTTCTGTCCCAAACCCAATTTGCCCTCTTTGAAAAAAATGGCTGGGCCGGAGAGATGGTTCAGCAGTTAAGAGCACTAGCTGTTCTTGCAGAGGTCCTGAGTCCTGAGTTCAATTCCCAGCAACTACATGGTGGCTCACAACCATCCGTAATGAGATCTGGTGCCCTCTTTTGGCCTGCAGGCAACATGCAGGAGAAATATTGTATAATAAATAAATAAATAAATAAATAAATAAATAAATAAATAAATAAATAAATCTTTTAAAAAAAAGAATTAAGCATCTGGCCAGGGACTCCTGTAATAAAAAGCTCTTCTGATCCAGCTTTCCAGTAGACAATGGCGTCAGTGCCTGCTGTCCTTACTCAAAGTATGGAGTTTTCCTTTACCTACCTTCCTTCTCTCTTTCCTTCTTTCCTTCTTCCTTCCTTCCTTCCTTCCTTCCTTCCTTCCTTCCTTCCTTCCTCCCTCCCTTCTTTTCCTTCCTTCCTTCTTTTCCTCCCTCTCTCCCCCTCCCTCCCTTCCTTCCTCAATTTCTTCCTTCCTTCCTTCTTCTTTAACAAATACATCCTTTCCAGTTTGTTTCTTGCTTTTGTTTGGATTCTAGTATCCTATGATTGTTCATGGTAACTTTGTTGACCTTTACATGTAAGTACCCAAAGTTTTTTTTTTGTTGTTGTTTTTAAATAATGTTCTATTTTTAATTACTACGGTGACAGGATTCAACTGTTTCGTAAATAATAGTTTGGTGAAAATGATTCAGAGAGGAAAAACCAGAATTGGGTATGAAAAGTTCTCTTATGACAAAGGCTAAGACAAAGCAGAAAGTCCTGGTGATGTAGTCCAGGGGTGGAGAAGACTGAACTGTGCCAGAATATACCCAGGGAAGGGAGTCAACAGGTATATGGCACTCAGCACCAACAGACAAAAGGAATATTGACTTCCTTACGGTCACCTGCTTTGTATCTGCAAGCTAGCTTATCAAGTGTAGCTCTCTGTTTGTATTGAAACTTTTTCATCTTCCCAAATTATAACACATGAAAAGGAGTGTATTTCCAACTGTTTGCCATATTGCTAGCCCTGGAATAACACACACACACACACACACACACACACACACACACACACACACACACACACACACACACTGATTGATTTAAACAGCGTGCTCCTTCTGAGTCTTGCAATTCCAATTTTGATTCTAGCTGACTTTGCAGCCTCTGATAAGTCAAGTAGTTTTCTTGACTTTATTCCTTTCCTGTGGTCAGTGGGAATTCTAATCATATAGTAAATTAATAGGAAAAATGCTTCATTTTTCCTAAAGGAGTGTGATAAAGAGTAACATATAAACCTCAAGTGGATATAATCGGCAGTCCTTCAGTGAGCTCTGAATAATTATAAATTTCTCCAGCAACTAGCTTACAAAGGGAGTTTGGTAAGGTGAGTTTTCATTTTCCCATCACTGGGGGAGTAGGTGCCAAACTTCATCCTATGTTCAAAATATGCCTAACGGTTTTCAATAACTAGTGTGTTACATTTTAGAATGAGCACTTTAAAGTGAAGCATTAAATCACAAGCCACATTCCAATATCTCAGGAGAAACAAGCAGACCTTAGATTCATGTGAAATTAACACATTTATTGTTTTTTTTTCACAGCCAGATTTGCAGGAAGTCATTCTTCTGTTTTGCTTCATACGTGTGTTCTCAAAGCTTTGATGAAGACCCTCTTTAGAAGCAAGTAAAAGCTGGTCTAGAGGGCATTCAGAGTTCTTTAAGTTTTACACAAAATGAAACTCGTTTTCTTTGCAACTTCATGAAACAATCTAGAAGATGTTCACAGGCCTAAACGAAGTAAGAATTTCCCCAGGAGTCTAGAGCAAGTTTTTGTGTAGAGACTTGACTTTGAAGGAGAAATACCAACAGATTCAACGTCTGGATTTCAGCTTCTTCCTGGCCAGCTGTGCTTGTGAGTCCATTCCTTCCCCTCTCAAAGGATGTAAGCCTATTAGCCATTAGTATTAGTAACACAAATAACACATGCCATACCTTCTGAAAATCCTTTGATAAAAATGCTTCACTTGCTAGGAGAAACCTATGGAACACTCTAAAGGATGAGTTGAAGCTGGATCTAGCAGCCTGTAGACTAGAAGTGTGCGGAAACAACCAGATAGCCTGGCCAATGACACTTCAGTGACACAAGCTCAAAATCCCCTGCCAACTCCCTGCCTAAGAAACACACAAGCTGTGACAAAGCTTTATGGCTGTCTGTGTCTGCACTGAAGGATCCCAAATACGTCCTCCTCACCTTCCATTCAGTAAATATCTGGCTCTCTTTTCCTATTAATTCCTCTGCTACCAGCCCTAGGGCATGTAGATCCAAGTTTTCTATGCTGACCCCTTTGCTGGGTGACTGTGCAAGAAAGGGTCCTCTCATTGCAAAAACTGGGGTCATGCATTTGTGTGCATTGGGTCTCAAGCTGTTGTTCTGGATTGCACTAATACTTATCATTTATTATTTTTCAGGACTCCATAAAATAAATCAATGAGATAAATATGCTTTCTCTGGCCAGATCCCAGGAACTACTGAATCGTAAGCTGCATGGAGACCCAGAACAGAAAGCCAGAAGTCATCCAGGCAGCCTAGCTCCTTGGAGAGACATTGTAAAGGATGGGGTAACCTCTGCTCCCTGGAGTTGGAATTTGGAACTCAAAAGGCAAAACAGGACACGCCATTCTAGTCCTTGGCTGCCAAAGCCTGTGACTGTTGCTGCCAAGCATCTTCCAGGCTTGATGTGTGCTCCAGCTGGAGCTGAATGTTTCCATCTGTACGACTGCAGGTGGTTATATAATTAGCCACATACATTTGTAGCGCTGTTGAGAGAAGACTAGTAATGAACCCACCCTTGCTTTACATCTGTGGGGTGTTGCAATGGACTGGAAAGGGGTCTGTTCCTAAAATAAACAGATCAAAATACTTTCTGTGTTCTAAATCTTCTGAGGTTGCTTATTTCAGCAGTTGTTACTGAAGCCTAAATGATTGAAATGACAGTGGGAACCAAGCTTGGTGAGTGTCTACGGTCTCTGCTTGAGAAGTTTCTGCATCTTTCAGAAGTCGCCCAGAAGCCACTTGGGTTCTCTGGAGGGAACGACACAGCAATAGATCCTGCTGAACTTCCTACCTTTCTGCCTTGTGTTAAAGGATTTGGCACTGGCATTCTATTTGACTTATTCCTTACTCTTTTGGACCACAGGGGTCCGTATTTTTCATCTGACACATTTGCCAAGAGTGGAAAAATAATTTCAATGAGATAGGAGTCCAATAAAAAATAATTAAGGGGGCTGAGGAAATGCCTCAGTGAGTAAAGGACTTGCTGTGCCAGCATAAGGACCCAAGTTTTAGAACTAAGAACCCATAAAAGTTGGTCATGATGCCACATGCCTATAACCCCAACATTGTGGTGGCAGAAGGGGGATCCCAAGGGCTCCTTGGTCAGCCAGTCTACTCAAAATAGTGAGCTACAGGTTTAGTGAGAGATCCTGCCTCAAAGAAAATAGTATGAAGAAGAAACTAAGGAAAGGTACCCCAACTTCAACGTCTGGCATCCACATGCACACTCATGCATGTGTGTGTGTGTGCTTGTATGAACACACACTGTCAAAAAAAAAAAGGACAATTTTAACTAAAACTACATTGAATCTAAAAGGAGGATTGACACCATCATGGAACACAGGGTTCCACTTAAAGGCAGGGTTCTGGTTAAGTTTATTTCTTTTTCTCTGTACTTACTGTTTCTACAGTGCATACAGGAAAGAGAACTTAGAACCCAGTGACTTGATAATGAGGTGAGAGACATGTTAGGATCAGAGAAAAGGCAACACATCTCTCCATTCTCTCTTCATGTTACCCTCCAATTTGATCAGAGCTGGGTAAGGGAGAGTGATGTTAGGCATGTCCTGAAAATGCCTGGCAAGACTGTTCTAACTGACCTGATACATGTGCCTTATCCAGCCCTAGTTTAAGTGCTTTTTATAATGATGGCCCAAATGGGAAAATGTCATCCAGAATGGCCTTTGATCTTCATTTTATGTCAGTTCCTAAAGGCAATGACTGCTGCTTCCTTCCATCTCCAGCCAACAGAAAGCTGGCTGGACTCCCACTGGTAGTAAAAGGGCAGTGCTGGCTACCAGCTCCTGGCTCACGAATTGGGATCCAAATGGGTATCATAATTAAAGCAAGAATTTATTAAAATGTTTGGAAAGGCACAGAGTGACAATGCCATTCCATTCTTTAACATTTGCTGAGGCTTCTTCCTAACCATTCTTAGGACTGGAATTAAACCCCTTATTTTGATAAAGGGAAGGACTGACATGTTATCATGGAAATCCAGAGGCAGAAGCTGGGCCTTTATGTGCACATTAAACATCCTAGGAGCTCTAGTGACCCACCTGGTAAGACATGGTGTTTCCACATTTGGCATCTCAGATCTCCTGGTACCAGAACTTCTCAAGCTCTGACTTTCAAGTTTTTCACTCTAGTGATGGGAACATCTATTTCCCATAGCAACAGGGAGGGGGAGTTCCTAGAAGTGGCTTCTGAACTAGAGTAACAAGTGAGGAGTGAGACATGAGACTGGCTAGAATTTCACATTGAGCACAGCTAAGGAAGGGAATTTCCCGAATACCCTTTGCCAATAGCAAGTCGTTGAAAATCAAGTCAAGAGTTGAGCAAAAACTGGGTTCGTTGGTCCCTAATTTAGGATACCAAAGTAGAAAAGGGAAAGCCCCAAAGAATAATTAAAATGATTAATTAAAAATTAATTGATTAATTAAAAAATCTTGGAACCAGCAGGGAATTTCTAAAAGCTTCATGTATTTTGACTTCCAATCTTCACTTCTTATGCATTTAGTTCATGGTTGCTAGATGAATCTGCCTGGAATACCTTTTTTTTTTTTTTTTTTTTGTATGACACTTTCCTTGCTTAAAAATCTATATGAGTGGCTTATTGATCCTAAGAGGAAGACAGGATCCATTGACTGGCTTTTAATGGCTGTGCTAGGCCTCCCTCTTAGTCCCTCTCCATCCACAGACTTAAGGTTTCTGTTTCCCTCAGCATTCTGAGGACATCCTCAGATTTTGCTTGAAAATGCAGTTCTACTTTTCTGTGTTTGAGACTGATTTAAGAAACACGTTTAAAACACCAACGTCATATTTTTCCTCTTATTCTTTTTGCCTCACTCTGCCTGCTGAAGTCCTGGTCTTCTTTGCTGGCTAGTTCAAGATACACAAGCTGCCAAACTTAGATGGATGGATGTAAAAGGAAAAGGACATTCTAGGAAGGACTGACAGGCTGAGTATTTGGAAACTACCTGTTAGAATTTGTGTGTTCATATTGGGTCGAAGTCACCTACTATTGCTCAGTGCTGCTGCACACAATTCTAACGTTATTCATGGGAAAGATACCAGCTTTGAGGTTAGAAAGATTAGAGCCTAGAAAGATTCTCCTTTAGTCAGTAGGATAGAACCACTTGTGGTAATAAATCCTTTATTTCTTTCACATTTAGCTTATTTGCTTGCAAAACGGGACATGTTTTTATCTTGCAGCAGAAGCGATGATATGTGTGAGGCATTTGACACACAGTGGGTAATTAATAAGTGCCAGTTCCTTTCTCTTCTGTGTGCTTGGGCAGCTGAGACAGGATAGAGAGGTAGTTGTTAAGACACGGTAGTAGACACTGCCAGCATCTAGTCATGCATGTTTCCAACTGCACAGACCTTTCTACTTCTGTGCTTGAGGATTTTTTTTAACCCAAGATATGTGTTTTCTGCTCATGTAGTGCACTGGAAATGCTGAGGAATTAGGACTCTTCTGGGGCAGCTTTCAGCCCATGACTCTGGAACTGTTGTATAAATACAGCTCCTTCATCCCTTGGGTGTGATAACTTGGAGGCAAGGTTTACACCGACTCTCAGTGTGAGTCTGCTGGATTAAATTCTAGACACCCAAGGTGGGAGCTGGTGTGACGGTTGCATCCTTAATTACCAGATGTCTCCCCCATGTCTCATTCACTCCCTTACCCATCTTCATCTCCTAAACTACTTGCTTTTGGATCTCTATCTCAGATAGATTCTTCTGGGAGAATACAAACCAAAAAGGATGCTTAGTTTATATTTTTCTTCACAGCTCATCCCAGTGGGGATGGTCTGACTGCTCCCAATCGCTTTATGAATCTGGATGGCAGAATAGGTATATCATCTTGGTCCTCATAAGCCACACTGTCATCGTGTAACATAAGAAATGTGACAGCAGCAATAACACGCTACATCTTAGTCACTCAAATGTGTAAACTAATACAACCATCAGGCGCCTTCCACATCTCTGATATTAAATGATGACTGAATTATTGATAACCAGTCCCACACTCCCTTGAATCAAATATTAATACAGCAATATCTTGCTTGTGGTGGCTGGGTCCTTTTTGAATGATTTCATTGCTCAGCAACCCAACCACGTCTTTCACCTCACACAAGATGAATCGGGTTCATTTCCGAAAGACAACTGGAGGAGATGGAATGCTTAACCAGTGGCTGCTGTGTTCTATCAGCACTGATACATGGCAGGCTTCCTTGGGACAAGTGTCAAGCCTCAAAGAAGAATTTCAATCCTTCTGAGACTTTCATTGGAATCTATTATAGATTTTACTTTTGCTGATGTATTTCATGATGGCATTTAAATGGGAAATACAAAGAATGGGCATGGCAGAGCTGGAGCAGGCTTTCCATCTTCACACTTCATGCTCATTATTTGTCATAAGGATTTCAGTTTCTATAATCGCCCCTCCTCTGGATTCTGTATCACATTAGTTCTTACTATTTCTACTGCTCTTATGAATGGTTTGTATCATGAATTTATTAGGTCCTGTATCTTCTTTTATTCTCCTTAAAGTATGGAACTCAATGTTATTGACATTGAGCTATTCTCTTCCCAAGGATGTTTTATACCTTGCTTAGTTTTGCACCTTTGGCACTTACAGAAGAATCTGGACCATTGATATGCTTTGTAAATACTTACTGAATGACAGACAGCATATGGTACCGAATGCTGCAACACTGAAGGTTGTGTTAAAAGCAACTTTCTATCTCTGAAAAGTTTGGTTGCGGAGGGATGCTTAGTTCATATTCTTATTCTCTCTCTTCTGCATCAGAGAATGTGAATAGAACATGTATCTGTTTGAAGGAAAACATTAAACAACTTCATATGTACTTTGACTCGAAGTCCATTTGCTTTATCACAAAAATCATTTATCTATTCAAGTTTATCAGAACTCTCTCATAAAGACCATGTAAATAAAAAGCATCACAAAGCTAAATTAGCCAGATGCAAATTCTACATATCTCAGTGAACATCTATGTAGTTTTAGAGTAACCATTCTAAAAATATGGGACTTCACATTGGATTTTACACTTTTTCTGCCAAATAATATTTTTATGCACTTAACTACCTTCAGGAAACTGAAAAGTCATGATAGAGTTAAAACTAAAAAAAACCCTATTAACTAAATATCCTATTTGACAATTTGAGTGTCCATTTATTAATGGAACAGAAGGAAGTATAAAATAATATGTATATGATTTCATATAATATATGTAATACATGAAAAAAGAAAGGAGACTGTTTGGGAAGAGGAAAGGTCATAGCAGGAGGGAGAGGAACAGGGGAAGGTAATGGGGAATGATGTGGTTGAAGTACATGATATACTTGAATAGAAATGCCATTATGAGATTCAAAAGTTTGTACAACAAATTCATAACACCATAGAACAAATGTACATTGATAACATTTTCATAAGAGAATACAGAAGCTATCTTCTGAAGCCCTCTGGTATTTTTAGGTAGGAGGTATCTGGAAATTCTGTAGGAATGAATTCTGGATGGGTGAAGCAACGTGTCGTATGTTGCAGGGGCAATGCCTCATCAAGTTGTGGCAAGAACACAACTCACAGTGATTTCTGCTGTTTCATTCAGGTGCATGTCATTCAAGCTCGTTAACCATCAGTGTCTATTTCCCAACCATTTCTTAAATAATCTCCTCTTCCTAAAGTACAGATAATCTTCCTTTTGTATTAAGTAATCTCTTACAGCCATTATGGAAATCAGTATGGAAGTTTCTCAAGAGATTAGAAATAGAACCACCATATGATCCTGATATACCACTCCTGGGCAAATACCCAAACCTAGTTGTGCTGATTATTGCTTCTCTGTTCACAATAGCAAAGATAGCGAATAAGCTTAGATATCCATAAGCAGATAAATGGATTATAAGAATGTGCTATGCATACAGTGGAATTTTATTTAGCTATAAAGAAAATGATACCATGGTTCTTTCAGTTTCAGAGTCTTCTTGCTTTTTGGTTGTTCTTCACAGCAGTTATTAGTCTCAATGTTTTAGGTGGGAGAGCAGAAAAATCACTAAAATATCGCACAAGACACACTCTACTCCAAACAAATGAGTATCAGGGCAAGCTGATAAATGTCTACTTGGGTTTATTTGAAAAACAAAATCGAGCAAACCTAACTTCTTTTCCACCTCTCTATTCATGCCCATTGGCTTTGTTATGTCTAACTTTAGATTCCTCCTACAGAGGTGCTGGTGGTTGTGAATGTTGGCCCTCTGAACGTAGGGAAAGTTGTAGATCTTCCACTCACTATGCATTATTTTACTTCACTTTGACACTGGACTTAATCATCCTAGAGTGCATAAAGCCATTACTGAGCCATTTAGATCATTTGTGTCTGGGAAATGGAGTGAGTGATGAAGTGTTCTCTCTGAGAAGAAACTGTGGATTCTCTTTCAAGAAGTATGTGTCAGAAGGCTAGCTTAGCCTTCTGAGAGTACACAGAATACAAATTGACGCTGCTGGTTCTTGTTTAGTGCTGTGGTAGAGGCAAGAAATTCTCTTAGAAGGTGGTCATGATGTCTCTTCTTAAAGGATTACCTCCATACTGCTTTCTATATTTTCTGGACTTCCTGTCTCCCAGTGGTTATGGATAAAAGATGCTATCTCACAGGCATTTTACAGTGGTCTGATACATTAAGATCCTCTGTTGGTTCATCAACTTTTGTACTCATGTCTTTGACCATGCACCTCCTCTTTAATACAGGTTAATTTAATGTGGAGACTCTTCAGACAGCATAATGACATAATGTAGTGAAGCAATGACAAAGAATTTCAAGGTCCAAGTCTTAAACAGACACAGAAACTCATGCCTTTGCTTTCTCAGGAGCCATTATCTACCATGAGATAAATCTGATTGCCTTTCTGGAGATACTATTGAAAGAGGCAACTGTGCCTCATTTCTTATCTTCTGAAGTCCCCTCATAATTGATGATACTGCTTCTAGACCCCGAATTAAGATAAAAACATGTCTTAGTGGTTTTTGCATATGTACTTTTGGTAATTTATAAGCCTTTAAGCTTCCTGAGGATAGAAACCATGTGTTTCTTAATTTTACATGTCACACAACATCCAATACCCAACTCATAATCCACATTAGGTAAAAATTCAAGGAAGATTTTCTGAGTGACTAATCAACAGAAATTTACCAGGTCTATCTTGGCTCATACCATAGATGGTTATTTTTTCCATTGTCTCACTTCTTAGGTTTTTTCCTTGCATTTTTCTTTGGTGAGAGAGAAAAGGAGAAAGGGGCATATTTTGAAATATCTACTGAGCCAGTTCTATTCCAAACACTGTCTGGTGGATTTTTATTCAGCCCTGTGAGGCGAGCAGTAAGCTGTGCATGCAGGGCCACACAGGTGGTAACTAGCAGAGCTGGTGTGTTGACTTCAAGAAGTCATGTTGTTTTCATTATATGCTGTTTGTGGTTGAGCCAGGCCTCCTGACAATTTTCACAATTTTTCTCTAGCCCTCAGGCCAACTCATTTTCTG